CATTTCTTCTCCCTTATCAGAATTATAAGCTTTTGCTATCTTTGGGAGGAGACCACTCAGTACTTAAAAGAAGTTTTTAACCTACAAAAAAAGGGAAACTGGTTTTTCTTTCAGAAAAGTACAAGAAACTCTCAAGATTGGTTATTTTTTATTTTTTAACATTTACAGTTTCAGTGTGCCTTGAAAGCTTTTTTTTTCCTGTAGATTTTCAAAAGTTGGTGACTAGGAGTTAAATGCATTCTTGTACAATGTTGTCTCTTATTTTTTATTTTCATTTTTATTGTTGTTTGAATACAGTTGTCTCCATTTTCCCACTGTTAAGTTTTTCTTATTCGAAGATTCCACAGAACTGAAGTACAAGGAGATAAGGGAAATTTTGGACAGAATGCAGACAGCTGTCAAATTTTGTTTGGACATAATTATTTCATGATGTGCTTGTTTATTTTAATGGATCTCCAGAATCTTCATCTTTTTCTTTTCTCATTTCTTATCTGTCGGGTGGCTTTGTTCTGGCAGCTTATTTTTCCCCACAGACAGCTGATTTTTGTTAGGGAATGGATAAATGTCCCTTTGCTCAATGTGTCCAGGACAAAGTATTCTGTTCTCTTCACATGGATCAACTAGATCATTTTTAGAGTGATTTAACACATGTGGGATGATTTTCTAAGTATGGAGTGAGCTGGGTTCTCTCTCTTTTAAAGGACTTCATCTGCACAGATTTGTATGTCATAACCTTTCTTTTAGATACACTATCATATGGGTCCATGTGTGGTTTTAAATTTTTTATTATTAATAATTTAACCAATAGCTGTTAACTCATGTTATGGATAACTCAAACATATGTGTCTACCTATATGTTCCTCCTTTCTTGCATTTTCTAACATTTACATTTATCATTGCCATATTTTTAATTTGTTTTATTTTTTAATTAAAAATTTGATCTCATATAAGTAGAAATATATTATTTGGTTTTGAACTTTATAAAACATTTGTCAGATAGGGACTTGCTTTTCTTTCTCAGTATTGGGTCAAGATGCATGTATATTATTGCAAGTCTCTATAGTCAGTTCATTTTCACTGCAGTGTAATATATCACTGTGTGAGTATGATATATTAATAATTTATGTCAAAATTTATCCATTTTCCTATGTATAAACATTTGGGTTGTTTCTAGTTTGTTTTTATTTTTTTGTTTTGCTGTAACAAGTAGTTCTGTGTACATCTGCTAAGACAGAGATGTGTCTGCTGGTATACGTGGGCAAGAACTTCTTCTGTTTGTACATTTGATCTGTCATGGGAATGAGAATAGTCAACTTCATAAGATTATGCTAAATTGTTTTCCAGACTGGTTGTAAAAGTTTATTCTTGAAACAGCAATATGAAAGAAGTTTGGCTAACTAATATTGTCTCAATTTTGCCAATTCAGGGGTTGTAAAATGACTATAAATTTCCTTTCTTCAACTTTACTTTTGGTAATAAAGTTATTCTAGTGTCATGTTGTTAGTCAATGAACAGAAATAGACTCTTTTTATTTTGGAGGAGTTTATGTGTGATGGAAATGATATGTTCCTTGAAATTTTGGTAGAATTTGCCAGTAAACTGTTTCTTTGTAGAATTATATTATTTTACCACCACTGTAATGTCCCTAATAACTGTAAGATTATTAAATATACCCACTAGATTGTGTTTTGGTAAGCTATATATTTTAAGAACTTATCTCTTTCATCTGAAGTTAAAAGTCTGTTCTTATAAAGCTATTGTTTATTTTTTCTTTTTTTGTATTTCAGGTATAGCTGTTAATGTCTTTCTTTCTTTTATAATATTTATTGTTTAATATCACTAGAAGTTTATTCAGTTTTTCAGTCTTTTCAAAGAACCAGTTTTGCCTTTGATATTTCCTATTGTTTTCATTTTCTATTTCCTTGATTTTTGTCAACATTTATGTTCTTTTTTCTTCTAGTTTTTGTGACTTTATTTTGCAGTCCTTTTTCTCAATTCATATGTTTGACACTAAATTTGTTACTTTCACATCATTTTTTTGTTTTCCAATTTAAACATTTAAGGCTATCCATTTTTTTAAAGCTCTACTTTCATTTTATCTCACAAGTTTTGACATGTAATGTTTTCATCATTTTATGCTAAATATTTAATAACTTGTTTGATACTTTCTGAATCATAGATTACTCAGAAGATTGGTTTTTAATTCCTGAACATTTGGAAACTTTATTTTGTTTTTTTACTTTCAAAGTTAATAGAATTGTGGCGAGAGAACATGGTTGTGTAATACCCATTCTTTGAAATTTTTTGAGCTGCCTCGCGACCTGAACTGGAACTGTGCTGTAAACGATCTGTGTGTATGTACGAAGGATGTGTATTCTAACTGTGGATGCAGAAGTTTGTAAATGTTCAGTGAAAGCCGTTGTTTAAATTTTTTGTATCTAATTTTACATATAGTTAAGTCTATTTTAACTATATATTTTGAGACCATTTCACTAGATTCATAACTGTTTAAAATTGATTTTGCTTCCCGATGAATTAAACCTTCTGTCTTTATGTTGCGGTCAGCTCTTCCACTAATATTTTTTATTTTTAGTTTATTTTCTGGAATGAATATGGCAACATCAACTTTCTTTTGATTACTATACGCCTCATATGTCTTTTTTATTTCTCTTAAATCTCTTAAGTTCTCATGCTTTAAATATGTCTTGTAAACAGAATATAGCTTATTCATTTATTTTTCAAACTTATCAATTTTTAAAAATTTAATGTTTATGATGTTTTTCCATTACCAGTTAGTCCCCTTATGCCCCTCCCCCCTGCAATCCCCACACTGTGGTCCATGCCCATGAGTCCTTTTCCTTTTTGCTCCATCCCTCACCCCAACCTCCCCCACCACCACTAGCTGTCATCTCTTCTCCATCTGAGTCTGTCTCTGTTTTGCTTGTTAGTTCAAACTTATTAAATTTTTAAATTTATAAATTTATTGTGACTATTGATGTATTTGCACTGTTTTCCTGCTCTTTTACTTTGTTTGTATTCATCTCTTTTTTTTGGTAAACAGTTCATTCATAACTGTGCCCTGTGCACTGTTCTAATGATTTCACAGCTGCAGCTGTTAGAATCTAAATCTGTCTTTTGTTTCTACTGAATTCCATTCATATTTCTTTGCTATCTTGTAGTTTCACACTTTTGAATTCACACCTTCAGTGAATTCATACAAGATTTGATCAGTGGAGCAGATTGGAGAAATGAAGGCAGAGATCACCAAACGGCATAAAAAATTATTTGAACATGGGAGTGGGAGGAGAAAGGGGAAGAAGATACAGAGAATAAGTAGCATAGACAGTAGGTAGAAAATAGACAGGGGGAGGGCAAGAATAGTATGGGAAATATAGAATCTAAAGAACTTGAGACATGTGGTCATAAACTAAAGGGGGGATGGTGGGGGAGGGGTGTGCAGGGTGGAGGGGAGTGAAGGGGGAAATGGGACAACTGTAATGGCATAATCAAAAAAATATATTTAAATAAATAAGTAAGTAAATAAATAAATAAATAAATGAAAAAATTATTTGAACAGGCAAAGAAGGCCTGTTGGCCTAACTGGGGAAGCTTTCCTGCGGAAAGGCTTTCCTCTTGCCCCCACTGTGGCCAGACGACAGACACGGTGTCCAACGACAATGTTCGCCTTCCTTAAGAGCTTCCGTTCCAGGCAGGAGTCTGAGAACCAGCTTCTTTCTTCTCCTGGTGCTAGTCTGAAGATTATATATATATATACACTCATATGTATCCCCTCAACCTTTTGGCTGTTGGACTTCATTCCTATGCCACCCTCTCTCCTCCCTACTGTCGAAGGATCCAGTCTGGCTCCCTGTCACTCGAATTGTACCGCTCTGACTGTTCTTACTTTGACCCCAGTTCCTTACTTTTCTAGTCCCACACCCCATGAATTTCTGCTTTGAATCAGGCCTTGAGGCTTTGAAAGCCAGACTGATGCCTGGTTACTCCTCCTGTTAGTGGTCGTTATGGGTGTCCCTGGAGATCTTCCTTTTGATTGAGACCAGCAGTGCCACAGAGAATGTGTTTGTAGAGCCGGTGGCATGGGGGGGAGGGGGACAGCAGGTCAGGGCTTCCCAGGGTCTTAGTGCCCCCGCAGTACTGGAAAGGGAAGGCTTTGGTATAGATGTTTTTTCCTTAATGGTTTAGGACAGTATATTCTATGGACACTATTCAGGATGTTAGTAAGTAATAAAAAAGTTTTGTGGTCAAGTAACTTCAGATGTTTGGTTAACACAAAATTAAATAATTGTCTTTAGTTCGGGTTTTCTCAGAGCCTCTGATATATTAACAGGCACCACGAATGTCCAACCGCAGCACATAAATGCTGAGATCACAGTGTCCAGTGTCAGCTCCACCCTTTGTACACAGTGTCTTTGAAGCTAAAATTCCTATGAACATACTGGGAAAAATAACTTTATAATGATAAATCTGTTGAGAAATGTGAGCAGATAGAAAAGTAGTCTGATTCTTATTTCAGGAATTTTCTTTACTCTTTGGTAAGTGCATCAGAAAATGTAAAACCTCTGTGTTTGGTTGTTTATGCAAGCATGGGACCAGGAATATTGGAACCAGTTTCAGAAAATTTACAGTTTACAGTCAGCTTAGCAAATAAGATTGGCTATTTTGCTCTTCCTGAGAGCAGCAGAAACATTATTTTGGGGGAAAAAAGCGATCTCCACTAATTCATACTATTCACAAGCTCACCAATTCTTCTGCCCTCTGGATAGTCAAAGAAAGTAGTCTAGTGCTTAAGTGGAACAGTGGAAAGTACTTTTATGCCTTTCATTGTTGGCTTGAGAATGCCATTCAGAAGACGGGATTGGGAAGAATAACATGGTATCATCTGAATTTTGCTACAAGAATTCTATGTGTGCTTAGATCATGATGCTAATCTAGTCACCTGACTGGTAGATTAATGTTTTAGTCTTCTTTGTCTCTTCCAGATGTTTTATGCAAAGTGGAAATGCCCTGTCAGTACTGCTTGGCCTTGCTAGAACTAAATGGAATCGGCTTTAGTACCACAGAATGTGAAAGGCAGAAACACATAATGCAAGCCACACTGGATGCCATCGAGACTCAGGCCTACCAGCTAGCCAGCCGCAGCTTTTCCTTCACCAGTTCAGATGACATTGCTGAGGTTGTATCATGGGAATAGAGAATTTAGAGAAGTAATTTATAGAGTTAAAAATGGTTTGTCTGTGTGTGTATTTCCTAAATGTGTTTATCTAAAAACAAATTCAGTTACACAGAGTATTTTGGAGGTGGAGTATTCTAGCATACAGTTTACGTTATATCTTGTATTTATGAAATAGGAAGGCAGTAAAGAATGTTCCTAGAACATATGCTCCCTGGGAAGGAAATTTGCCTGGAACAGAGGAGGCGCTTAGTAAATATTTGTTGCACAAAAGACAGTTGCATAGCAGTGTAGCTGTTTCTCCCTTTCTCCTCTCTAAATCCTGTTGTAGAGTACGAATTAGATATTTTTCTCAGGTGTTAATGAAAAATAGATTTTCGTGACTGCTTCTTAAACCTAATTACTATTTTTATCATCTTACATAAATTTTGGCATAGTTTATTCCCATTATTATTTTCAAAGGTTGGTGTTCTCTTCTCTACCCAGACTCCATGAAGGTGGTTGGGTTGTTTTAAAGAGATTACAAATGTAGGTTTTGGTGCTCATACTTGATAGCATTGAAGTTACAGTGTCTTCTAGATGTGACTCAATAATACAGCATATTGGAGTAGATCATAGGCTTTAGAGACAGAATTCTTGGGTTTGAGTCCTACCTTCTTCATTCATTAACTTAATCCATGACTTTGAGCCAATACATCAACTCTTTGTATCTTAATTTTGTATCAGTAAAGTGGGTTATGATAGAAATACCTGATAGAATTATTCCGAGGAATAAATAATAAATGTAAAGCACTTAGAATACTGACCATCTCATAGTAAGTACTCAACAAATGTTATATATAATCATAAAAATGTCCATTTTTGCCTTGGCTCGTGTGGCCCAGTGAGCACCAGCCTGTGAACTGAAAGGTCTCTGGTTCTATTCCCAGTCAGGGCACATCCCTGGGTTGCAGGCTGGGTCCCTGTTGGGGACGTGTGAGAGGCAACTGATATCTCTCACACACTGATGTTTCTCTCTCTCTCTTTCTCCTCCCCTTCCTCTCTCTCTGAAAGTAAATAAATAAAATCTTTTTTTAAATGTTCATTTTTAAGCCACAGAATTATATGTTTTCAAAAATGAGGAACTTTGTGTCTCCCAATCATGTGCTGTATTTGTATTAAATTCATTGGTGACTTTTTGGGTATTTTTAATATTTTCTTTTGAGTTTTTTAGCCCAGAACTCCCTAAGCTAGTACAGTACCTACCTAAAAGCACATAAAATTACATAAGGAGCTTTTAAAAAATATAGGGTCTCTGAATTTCAGCACGAGTAGGCAGGCTCGTAGCAAAGGCAGGAACCTGTGCCTTTGTGACACAGATGGGCACTGAGGTGTCAGGGCCTGGGCCTGGACCGAAAGCCGAGCTGGAATAAAAGGCCTTCGGTGTTATTAGCTTGTTCTTAAGTCTTCACATTAAAACCGATGTTCCGTTTAAGGTGATGTGACAGTTTTACACACTGACTATTTAATTCTTCCCGACTTGAAGTTGCATCTTTGAACCAGGCAGGATACCATATTCACCTACAGCCGCACTAATATGGGAGCCACTAGCTGCCACTTGTGGCTATTTAAATTGAAATTAATTAAAATTAAATAAAACATATCAGTTTAGCTCCTTATTTGTGCTAGCCACATTTCAAATGTTCGAAAGCCACACTGGGTACCACATCGGACAGTGCAAACATAGAACGTTTCCATTATTGCAAAAAGTTCTTTTGGATGGCACTGGTCTAGAGCAGGGACTGGCTAAGTGCAGCTTGAGGGCCAGGTCTGGCCCGCCATCTGTTTTGGTAAATACAGTGTTGTCAGACACCCCACACCCGTGTGTTTACTTACTGCATTTATCTGCTTTCGTTCTGTAATCACAGTTGAGGAGTTGTGACAGTAAACCTTGAAAAGCCGAAAATAGCTATTATGTGGACTGTTGTGGAAAAAATTTGCTGACCTCTGGTCTAGAGGGAAGCAGGGGTTAGTGAAAAGAAAAGAGGACGTTAGAATTATGTGACTCTGGGTTCTAATTCTTAATTCTACTTTCAGGACATGTAACGCTGAGCAAGTTTTCCCAACTGTCTTTTTCAGATTTGCCACAGAATTGTAAAGATTACATGTGATGGCACATGTTAGAGCATCTGGCATAAAGGCTGGCATGCAGTAGGTGGTCCTACTACATGTTAGCCCCTCTTGCCTCATCTTGTTCAACCCCCTCATTTCATCGACGTAATCAAGGCCCGAAGAAGTAATTCATTTAGGGGATCCTGCCTTTGTCCCATGGCCTGGATCCCTGCCCTTTGTTTTTTCAGTGGGTGCGTTTGGCCATGCTAGCTCTCACTGCTGCATTGGCTCGGCCACCTTCTCCCAACTTTTTGTGCCCAAGGACTGTCCCCTGACTGTCCCCAGCCTATGGCAGTAGAATTAGATGGCTTTCGGGGCCCCTTCCTACCGATCGTTCTTTGATTTTGGGGATCACAATAGCCATGGAATCTCTCATGTTGACTCTATGGGTCTGAAATGATTGAGCAGCCACACTGTTTACCACAGCAAGTGGTGCTTAGGAGAGTTCACGACCGTCAGAGCACCCGGAAGTCGCAATGTCAACAGCTTACTTGTCAGTTGTTCAGCACCGAGTGTACATTCCTGTGGAGGTGACTGTTAGAAAGCCTGGTGTTAGTATTACTCTGTCAGTGCCTGCATTAGCATGTGGACATGCAAGTTTTCATTGCCATTATTTTTTAACTGCACTAACTCAAAACTTCCCCCCCCAAATTCTTCCAGCCCAAGTTGAACTATATAGGTTGTTTTTCCAAATAACTTTTAAAAATGTTTTCTGAATGATAATACTTGAGATTTGATTCCTGACTAAAGAAGCTGTAATTTCTTACAGGTTTTATTTTTGGAATTGAAGTTGCCACCAAACGGAGAGATAAAAAACCAAGACGGCAAGAAAATTTGGGGTTCTACCAGAAGAAGGAATGACAATGGATGCAAGCTAAGGCTGGGAAAATTGTTCAGCACTAGTAAGGTGCTCTTTGGGGTAGTCACGGGGCAGAGTCTAAACTACTGTTAGCATTTTGGCGTCTTCAAAGAATGTTGATGAAATCCAGATCCAACATAACCCATTTGCACTTACCCACATGAGAACAAATTGGTCCAGCTCATGTTTGGCTGCCCACAGTACATGCGGCAGTACCTCAGCGTGGGAAATCTGGACCACACCTGAGCCAGCAGTTGCGCGCTCCCTATCATTAAAACAGTGTAATGGTTTGTAAAATCAGACCAGCGGACATGATTTAATTATTGACATCCACTAAGTTTAGACTTCCAGTATTATATAATTTGTATAGTTATATGAACATGAACAAAGGTATGGAAGAATTTTTTAAAAGAAAAGTAAAACCCAAGCCAATACAAATGAAACGGTTTTTTCAATTCCAGGGAAAAATCTTAAGTTTTACATGAGTTTCTTTTAAGAATCTAACCTGCTGATTTCAAAGTAAAATTGCTGGTCACAATCCATGGAAACTGTATGAATGGGAGAGAAGAGTAAAAGGGCTTATTTTACATTTTTACGGAATGGATTTTCAATGGAAAAACAAGGGTGGAAAGTACAGCCACAGTGAGACAGGTTACCATCCTGCAGGATTCTGCCCCTAATGTCATTCACTCTCACTTGCCTGACCCGGGAATGTTTCCACTCCATTCCATAGCACTTTTTATTTGATCTCACTGGCCCTTTAACCTCACAAGTTTTTACTCCTGAAACATTCATCAAAAGTCTGTAGCTTGGAAAATTCAAAGTGTTAAAGAGAAATGTCTTCTCATTTTCTTTTGATACAGAACCATGAAAGTATTAGGGCAAAAATGAAACAAGCAAAATTGACAATTATGTGAGGAAGGAGGAGGAAAATGTAGAGATAAAAATAGATGATATAAACTCTTGGGTGGAGTGTGGAGAGGCAGTTAACTTTGCTAAGTTGACATCTCATTACTTTTTTAAAGGTAGATCTAAATTGATGTTGCCTAGCATAAACATGTTTGCTTTTAATAATCCAAGTTATCAGTGTTGGCGTTATGGTGATTTCTATGAAGTCCAAATAGTAATTTTGAGTTGTAAATATAGGAGTTAGCAAATTTAATTTTGAGGCTACATTATTTACCTAAAAGAGATTGTAGTTTGCTGTGGAATTTGGATAAGAATCTGATCTTACTTTATTGTGTTTCTTTGTCAGGATGTTTTAAGTAAGTTAAAGGCATTACATCCTTTGCCAGGCTTGATATTAGAGTGGAGAAGAATCGCTCACACCGTCACCAAAGTGGTCTTTCCCCTGCAGCGGGAAAGGCGTCTGCATCCTGTTCTTGGCATGGAAAGAGTCCACCCTGTCTCACAGTCACACACCGCTACAGGTAAGGAGAGATTTTTTTTTTTTAAAGATTTTATTTATTTATCTTTAGAGGGGAAGGGAAGGAGAGAGGGAGAGAAACATCAATGTATGGTTGCCTTTTGTGCATTCCCTGCTGGGAACTGGCCTGCAGGGAACACGCCTGCAACCCAGGCATGTGCCCTGACTGGGAATCGAACCGCGATTGTCTGGTTCGAAAGCCTGTGCTCAATCCACTGAGCTATACCAGCCAGGGCTAAGGAGAGATTTTAAATGTGCCTAATATCCAATTCTGAAAGAAAAAATGGTTCATATATATATTATTATGATCACCAATGATTTCAAGTGTTGACCTTTGGGTTCAACAAAATTTTGTAAATGTTTATGAAACACATACTATATCCAAAGTATAGATGGATACTAACTCGATACAGAGATGAGATTTAGTAAAATATAGTTTCTGCTTTCAAATATTGTGTAGAGTAACCAGGATGTCTGAATCTGTGCTTTGGATGAGAACATTTCCAGGAATTAACTATTTGAGTCAGTGATCTTAGTCTAATTTTAATTACAGCCCTCTCCTGAAGATCTTAAGATTCTCCCCAAGTCGAGTTTAAATAGACATGTGGGGCTTTCATATAATAAGTGGGCAGCTTATTTTATTCTATTAGAACAGAGAACTGTGAGCCCTCTGGGTGTCTCATGGCCCTCTTGGTGTAGACATGAGTATCGTACGGTGAGGAAAAAAGTCTTACTTCTCTAGGCAGTACAAAACTCTAATTATTTGCCAAGTGCAGTGTGTGGTGGAAGTAAGAGCAGTGTTAAGCCTTTCATAGGGAGGGCATTTTAGGTTGATGGTATCATATTTTTGTAAGTTTTGAATCCTGGTGCTGTGAATCTTTAGACAAAGTACTTAACCTCTCCGTGCCTAAGTTCCTCATGATAAAACAGGGTCATAATAGTTCTACCTCACCAGACCATCCTGAGGATTTATTCATTTATGTATTTACCAAACACACTTTAATTTTGGTCTTCAAAGAACAAACTGTTTCTTGCAAGGTAAACATGATTAATTTACGAAATTGGTATTTGTAATCCCTCTTCAAAGCATTCTCCCTTAATGGGAAACTGAGCTTCAAAGACTCCAGACATTGAGAGCTTTAGGAAAAATAAAAATTTTGTTGTCAGTATAAGACAAAGCAGAATCTAGCATAAGTCAAGCAAATCCATTCATACTTCAGGTCCTTCTCCTCAGGAGCCAGCACTGTTATGTTATTTGCATTTAGAAAAATCTGGCCTAATTTAGCAATCCTTCTCCCTTCTGGTGTGATTTCACTAGAGGCAGTAGCTGTGACTGGATAGTGGCAGCATTAGCCACCATGGCGACACCAGAAGTCCATCCTGAGGACTTAATAGGTTAACACCTGTCAGTGTTTAGAACAGTGCATGGCACTTAGTGTGTGGCTTACACCGTTATTAAGCCTGGAGGCACCGTGAGGCGCTGCTTGTTTCTCTGCTTGCTTATTCCTCATTCCCAACACCTTCTCTTTTCCTTCTTCTCTACCTAGCTGACCTTTCACTCCTTCCTAGCCATTTCTGGTCCTGTTGCTATTTTGGTTTCATTGCTGTAAACTTATAAAAATAAATCCTTGTTTGTGAAAAAACCAAATCAACCTAGAATTTCAAAGGTGTTGCATTTATTTGTTGCTTATAATGCAGGAAGTAATCAATTCCTTTTTTTTCTGATTGGTTTTTATCATAGGAGTTTCCCCAGGTATAGCAAAACCCTTTCATTATTAGAATTCAGTTCCATGATGCTACATTCATGTTTTCTCATTTATTTTTTTCTTTCAAAAATATTTTATTTATTTACATTTAGAGAAAGGGGAAAGGAAGGAGAAAGAGTGGGAGAGAAATTGTGACAGTGGCAATCAATCTAGCATAAGTCAATTGATCAGTGGCCTCTCATATGCCCCCAAACAGGCACCTGGCCTGCAACCCAGGTATGTGCCCTGACCACTGACCATTCACCTCTCAGGCTGGCACTCAATGTATTGAGCCACACAAACTAGGGCTATTTTTTCTTTTAAATATTATATTAATTATGCTAATACAGTGGTTCTGATTTTTCCCCCTTTGCCTCCCTCCATCTAGCACCCCCCACTCCCTCAGGCAATCCTCCCAACATTTTTCATGTCCATGGGTCATGTGTAAAAGTTCTTTGGCTGCTCCATTTCCTATACTGTACTTTATATCCCCGTGGCTAGTCTGTAACTACCTATCTGTACTTCTTAATCCCCTCACCTCTTCACCCATTCCCGACACATGCCTCCCATCTGGCAGCCATCAAAATATTCTCTGTATCTGTGATTCTGTCTTTATTCTTGTTTGCTTAGTTTGTTTTTTGGATTCAATTGTTGATAGATTTGTATTTTTGCCATTTTATTCTTCATAGTTTTGATCTTCTTTTTCTTAACTAAGTGCCTTTAACATTTCACATAATACAGATTTGGTGATGATGAACTCCTTTAGTTTTTTCTTTCTGGGAAGCTCTTAATCTGCCCCTTGGATTCTAAATGACAGCTTTGCTGGGTAGAGCAATCTTGGCTGTTGATCTCTGCTTTTCATGACTTTGAATATTTCTCGCCAGTCCTTTCTAGCCTGCAAAGTTTCTTTTGAGAAATCAGCTGACCGTTTTATGGCAACTCCCCTGTAGGTAACTTCTTTTCTCTTGCTACTTTTAAGATTCTCTCTTTATATTTAAACTTTGATACTATGATGTGTCTTGGAGTGAGCCTCTTTGCATCCATCTTGCTTGGAATTTTCTGTGCTTCCTGGACTTGCATATCTATTTCCTTCACCAAATTAGGGAAGTTTTCTCTCATTATTTTTTCAAATAGATTTCCAATTTCTTGTTCTTTTTCTTCCCCTTCTGCCAACTCTATAATGTGAATGTCAGATTGCTTAAAGTTGTCCAAAGCTGTGTACATTATTCTTATTTTTTGGATTCTTTTTTCTTCTTGTTTTTTTTTTTAATTTATTTTTTTAAATTGATTATGCTGTTACAGTTGTTCTATTCCCCCCTTCATTCCCCTCCACCCTGCCCCCCCACCATTACCCCCCTTTAGTTTATGTCCATGTGTCTCAAGTCCTTTAGGTTCTATATTTCCCATGCTATTCTTGCCCCCCCATCTATTTTCTATCTACTGTCTATGCTACTTATTTTCTGTACCTTCTCCCCCCATCTCCTCCTCCCACTCCCCTGTTGCTAACCCTCCTTGAGATCTTCATTTCTATGTTTCCACTCCTGATCTAGCTGTCCTTTTAGTTTGCTTTCGTTTTAGGTGTGGTTGTTAATAACTGTGAGCTTGTTGTTCTTTCACTGTTCATGTTTCTTTAACTTCTTTTTCTTAGATAAGTCCCTTTAACATTTCATATAATAAGGGCTTGGTGATGATGAACTCCTTGAATTTGGTCTTATCTGAGAAGCACCTTATCTGTCCTTCCATTCTAAATGAAAGTTTTGCTGGATAGAGCAATCTTGGTTGTAGGTCTTTAGATTTCATGACTTGGAATATTTCTTTCCAGCCCCTTCTTGCCTGTAAGGTCTCTTTTGAGAAATCTGCTGACAGTCTGATAGGGACTCCTTTGTAGGTGATTGTCCCCTTAGCTCTTACTGCTTCTAGGATTCTCTCCTTCATTTTAATTTTGGCTAATGTAATTATGATGTGCCTTGGTGTGTTTCTTCTTGAGTCCAACTTTTTTGGTACTCTCTGAGCTTCTTGGATTTCTTGGAAGTCTATTTCCTTTGCCAGATTGGGGAAATTTTCTTTTATTATTTGTTCAAATAAGTTTTCCACTGGTGGCTGTGCCTTTCCCCCTTCTGGTACCCCTATAATTCGGATATTGGAGCGTTTAAAGATGTCCTGGAGGTTCCTAAGACTCTTCTCATTTCTTTGAATTCTTGCTCCTTGACTCTTTTCTGTTTGGCCATTATTTGCTTTCTTCTGGTCCACTCCATTGATTTGAGTCCCAGTTTCCTTTTCATCGCTATGGGTTTCCTGTGGAATTCCATTCATTTCCATTAGTTTAGCCTTCATATGTTTCTCTAATTTGTGGCTATAATCCACCAGATCTGTGAGGAAGCTGATGACCAGTGTTTTAAACTGTGCGTCTGAGAGTTTTGCTATTTCTTCGTCGCTTAGATTTATCTCTGGGAGGTCTTCCTGCGACATTTTTGGTCTGTTCTGGCCCTTTAAGTGGGAGAAGCGGCGCCTTGGACTCCCAGGTCGCTGGGTTGTGATGCTGTATGTGGGGGCGTGGTCAGAGCGGGGAAATGGCGGCGCCCTCTACCGCCGAGGTCCAACCGCCCACTCCCTCGCCTGTCCGCTGGCGTGCAGATAGGCAACCGCAGTCAACACGCAGCACCGCCTCCCCACTGTCTCCTCTGCAGTTGCTCACCTGGTGGGTTGCTCGGTCGCTCACTAGGTCCAATCCTGCGTTTGGAACCCGGGCGTCTGGATTCGCGCGTCTGGATTCCTCGCCTGGGTCCGTCCGACCGGAGTCCTCCTGTGCAACCCCTCACCAGACGCCGGTTTCGCCCCTTACCGGTCGGGCTGAAGAATTTGTTGTTAACGGACTTCCGAAAAGTTCAATTTTCTGTGTTCTGGTTGTGTTTTCTGATGCTAATATTTAGTTGTCCCTAAACTTGGTTGTGTGAGAAGGCACGGCACATCCACCTATACCTCCATCTTGGCGGAAGTCTCCTCTTCTTGTTGTTTTGATTGGTTGTTTTTTGCTTCCATATGTTCCAAATTATTGATTTGATTCTCAACTTCATCAACTCTACTGTTGTTTCCCTGTAAATTGTTCTTTATTTCAATTAGTGTATCCTTCATTTCTGACTGGGTATTTCTTATGCTGCTGAGGTCCTTACTGAGTTTCTTGAGCATCCTTATAACCAGTGTTTTGAAATCTTCATCTGATAGATTGCTTATCCCCATTTTGTTTAGCTCTTTTTCTGGAGTTTTGATCTGTTCTTTCCTTTGGGTCATGTTTCTTTTGTCTCCTCACTTTGGCAGCCTCCCCATGTTTGTTTCTATATATTAGGTAGAGCTGCTATGATTCCCTCCCTGTCTTGATAGTGTGGCCTCATGTAGTAGGTGTCCTGTAGGGTCCAAGGGTACAGCCTCCCCTATCACTGAAGCTGTGTACTTGATGTGTGCCCTTTGTGTGGGCTGAATACACTCTCCTTTTGAAGTTGATTTTGGTTGCTGTTGGCAGGTCAATGGGAGGGATTTCCCCAGGCCAGTCAGCTGCAAGGGATGTCTGTTGCCACTGACCACCAACCTCCACCCTCCATGGAGGGTCAGCTGTGCAGGTGCAGGGTGGTGGTGCTCCAGTGTGGTCTGTAGCTGTCCACTGGGTGCTCTGGCCCTGGGGTTTCCTGAGTGTTGCCGGCCAAGATCAGTCCCCACCTGTGTTTTGCCTGGGGACACCCTTCCTGAGTTATAAAGCAATGTGAATTGGTTGCTACTTGTGCAGGGCTTGGAGATTCCCAGGTGAAGCCATGATGTGAATCTATGCTGGCTGCTGCTAGTGCCAGGCCTGGGGCCCACTGAGGCCAGCTGCTACTTTGAGGGGATTGTTTGAGAGGATTTAGGAAGTTGTGCAGCCTGAGTCAAGACCAGCTATTCATATGAAAAAGCAGCTTGGGTGGTCCCATAAGTTGGGTGGGGCAGAGTCTCTGGGGATCTTCAAGTTGGGTGTGTCAGGTAGTGTGAGCCAGGTTGATGGAATCTTAGATATGGACCCAGTCTTCTGGCTCTGTGGGAGGAGGCTTTAGAAAAGGGACAATGACCTATGCTCACCTTGATGCCAGATACTTTAGTTCCTCACTGTATGCTACTGGTGCCTTTCAAGCTGCTACCCCAGTGCTGGAGCTCAAAGGCAGTGAATTTTTGTGTAGATGAGTCCATATGTGGGTTTTTAAAGAGGAACTCCTTGGGGCTCCAGAATTTTCTTCCACTGATTCAATACCCACTGTTTTTTGCAGCCACAAGTTGTGGGGACTTTTCTCCTGGCACTGGAACCCTGGGTTGGAGGGTCTGGTGTGGGTTGAGACACCTGACTCCTGAACTATTCCTCCTGAATTTTTATCCACCACATGTGGGGGTGGGACCAGCCTGTTCTGCATCTGCATCCCTCCTACCAGTCTGGATGGATGTGGTTTCTTTAACTCAGTAGTTGTCAGGCTTCCATTCAATGCAATCTGTCAGTTTTGAGCAATGGTTGTTCTATATTTTAGTTGTAATTTTGATGTGGTTTTGCAAAGAGGCAAGCCATGGTTAATTATGCCAGAAGTCCTGCCTAAAAGCTAAATAACAAGGGCATAATATCACAGGTTTATTTGGAAATAATATTCTAGATAGTTAAAATGTCTGATTCATTAAAAGATGGAATTATATATAGTAGCTAGTAGGGAGCCTGTTACAATCATGTATCATAAAGTGTGTTACTATATATGTAATACAAAAATTTCAAAAAACAAAATGAGTTACCCAAACTTTTTTTGAACGATGCTAGGTGTTCTAGAAAAATTCAACCAGTAAGTGAACAAATAAAAGGCAAAATATTTTTGGGAAAATAAACTCTATAAGGATTTAAGCAAATATCTTTCTGTTTCCTAGAAAAATCATTAACCACCTAATTCTAGTCTTCAGCTATGCCCATGTTAGCATTGATTCTCTTGATGAGTGATGATGATGATAAGAAAATTGGCTGGGTAATGTCTAGAAAGTGATGTTCCACCTCTCACTGCCACCATCTCCTACATTAGCTAACTCCTCTGGCCAGTTGTTGATGTGGACACTGGCCAGCAGTGTCTGTGGTGTTGTGGATGAGATGAGACAAATTCACACGGACCACTGAAGTCCTGTGGAGGAAAAGGGACAGCATGGCTACTCTCTCAAGGGGAGAGTGCACCGACCCTTGCCTTGATAGGCTTTTATTGACTTAATTTGCATAGGAATACAGGGAGTAAATATAAAGTTCATCAGTCATTGTCGGGCAGAAATGATTAAACAATAGATAACATTCAGATAACTCTGGGGGCTTATTTTGAGTCTTGGTTAGATAGTTAAAGGGCCATTAAACTTTGGGGAACAAACTCATTTCATTCTTGTACCCTTATCATTTAAATTGAGAGTATTAGCAAAGCACTTTTCATAGGATTTTATACATTCTTTCTTAGGCCTGATTGCCCCAGGGAACCTGCCCTCTCCAGCACAGGGCTGCACCCACCTCCAGCATTGTTTCAGGCTTAAGTCAGGCAGGGGAAGTAAGGCAGCCAAGAGATTAGGAGATTTCTGGCAGATGGAATGAGGACTCAGGCTATGTCAAAGCCGAGGGGTGAGGGTCCATCACTCCCCTCAAGTCCTTTCCTGTGAGCCCCTTCATGACTATACCTGTCACAGGAGGTCATCCCTCCTGTGAGGAATCTTACCTGTCGTTGGCTAACCAGTCATCTGCCAGGGCCCAGGAGGGTGAAGAGAAAGGGGGCAGAGGCAGTGCCCCAGCAAGGAGGATAAACTTTGTCTCCTAAGTGGCTTATGGTTCCAAGGTCTTTTACTCAGTTTTAGCCACTGGGCATTACAGCTTCTGAACAAGGCAGGGCAGTTCCCAACATGTTGTCCCTTTTCAGCACTCAGGTGCTCCTCTGCTCCAGATCCTCTTTTCTTTATTTTGTGCATTCCTGGGTTTTAAAGGCTCCAACAGTCACTTTGCTTAGGACCCGTTCGATTAGTCTTTACTTATTAATATAACTGCTAACATTTTATAGTGCTAATATCTGATTCTCTATCAAATTACTTTGTAACATGAGCCTGTTTTCTAGAGAGCTAGGTTAATGTAAGATGTATTATAGCTGATTCCCATACTCACTTACATTGGGATGGTTCTTGTACTTATTTTTTCATTGTTAGACACGTGAACATGATGAAAAATATTTAAATATAAATTTATTTTAGCAATAATAGAACATGCATTTTTAAAATTATTTATTTATCTTTAGAGGGGAAGGGAAGGAGAGTGGGAGAGAAATATCAATGTATGGTTGCCTCTCATGTGTCCCCCACTGGGAACTGGCCTACAACCCAGGCATGTGCCCTGACTGGGACTCGAACTGCGATGCCTTGGTTTGCAGGCCCACGCTCAATCCACTGAGCTACACCAGCCAGGACAGAACATGCATTTTTAAGATAATTCAGAAATGCAATTACTATTAAGATAAATGTCAAAATTTCCCCCCTAATTTTTTCTATTTTCTGTTTGATTTTAGGACGAATAACCTTTACAGAACCAAATATTCAGAGTGTACCAAGAGATTTTGAGATCCAAATGCCAACACTAGTAGGAGAAAACCCACCTTCGCAAGCCCAAGGCCAAGGCCTACTTCCCATGGGCAGGTAGACATTATTTCCTTGTACTTGCATTAAAATACTTCTGTGAGCACGGATGGCTCAAAAATAGCCTATTTGACAAAATAATGAAAATAATTTAAATTTGTTTTAGGTAGACACGTTTCTACTCTAGGCACCATTTTCAAACCCTGAGTTTGTCTGTAAAGAAGCTAGTCGATGGTGAAAGGCTGAAAGCCTGGGCCACTAATTAAATCAACCATCACATGCTTATTTAAGTCAAGTACTAAAGGGAAGAGTTTAATGATGTCAGGAACATCCCCCCTCTGCCTTCCTCACATACACACAAAGGAAAGAAAATGTGCATATAATATATATTAGATTTGGTCAAAGAGATTTGTTGAGCTAAATGCCAGTGAATTATCTCAGAAGTGTTTGTAGGAAAGGCTTTTACAGAATGCAATGGTGGGGGAGGGTAGGATGTGAGGGGGGGTGGGTAGGGCAGGGGTGAGTAATGGGGAAAAGTGAAGACCACTATAACTGAACAATAATAAACAATAGCTAGCACATATTAAGCATTTAAAAAAATAAATGTTTTACTTCTTATTTAATTCAATGTTTGCTAAAAAAATATAGCAAAGAGATACTTTTTGTTAAAGCTTTGTTAAGCTTTAACAAAAAGTGTAAATCTTCGTTAAGCTTTAAAGTGAGTTTCAAATAATAAGGTTTTTAAGTTTCTTAGATGGAAATACTAAGTTTACTGAAAACTCAGGCCTTTTTCACATATTTGAGATTGCTTCATATCCTGCTGATGATGTTATTTGCATGACAGAGAAGAAAATAAGAAGGGCTGTGGCCTGAACCCTGGGCACCAGACACAGATGGAGCAGAGGACCCCAGACAGAGGAGTGCCGTTGTCGGTCAGTGTGCGGCACGCCTTTGTGCCTTTCCCAGGTAGGATGCTGATGGGTTTTGAGCTTCTCACTGATGTGGGAATATTTTTCAAAGCACTGATAAAACCTGCATTATGAATAAGACTCAAAGTATGCATTGGCCCCTCCATTTTTCCTCCCTTCTGTGTAGCCTGTTGTTTCCCTTTGTGTTGCCAGGTCTGTAACAGTCATCTTGTTTTCCTGATCTGTTCTGTGGGAAACTTCTGTGGTGTGTACTCATTGACAATGGTCTGCTGAAGCCACGTTTTCCAAGGTGATTGTAAACCTTTTTGGAAAATCCAATGGATATTTTAGGTCCTCATCTTCTTTGACTGCTGTACAGCATTTGTCTATTTTAACCAATCTTTACTTTCCTTAATTTCGCTCCTCTCTTCACCAGTAAGGGCATACTATCTTTTTGTTTTGTTTTTTGTCATCAAAACATTTGGAAGTCATGATCTAATTCCCAAATAATCCCTACTATTAGTACATGTTTGTTCTTTTATGTTGACAGGTCTGGGTGAGTGTGTTAACTACCTGAATTTATTTGAGTTATGTCAGAAACATATATTCTAAGGGTGAATTTGGGCCTCTGATAGCATAACCTACTTAGAAAATTTCAGTTTTGCTTTTTAAGTATGAACTATCAGCATTTTACTCTTGTAACCATGTTTAAGTATTCAGTTTTGTGGCAGTAAGTCCATTTGCTTTGTTGTGCATCCGTTACCACACTCATCTCCAGAACTTTTTCATCTTCCCCTACCGCAACTCTGTACCCATTACATGCTAACTCTCCCTCCCCTGCTCCCCAGCCCCTGGTAACCACAGTTCTACTCTCTGTCTCTATGAATTTGACTACGCTAGTACCTCATGTAAGTGGAATCATACTGTATTTTTCCTGTGTGCCTGGCTTATTTCACTCAGCGTGATGTTGTCAGGGTTCAACTACATTGCAGCAAGTGTTGGAATTTCCTTTCTTTTTAAGGCTGAATAATATTTCATTGTATGTATATACCTCATTTTATTTATCTGTTCATCCATCAATTTATTCTTATCAAAATAATGAAATTGTTTAATGCAACAATATTTTATGTTGCTTCAGGTTAAATTTTTTTAATTAATTTAAATTCAATGTAAATGAGTTAAGTCTGGAAATTTCTGCCACTTAAGTGTAGTGTTTAGTTTATTTACATCTAAAGTTATTATTGATATGTGGTTTGATTATAGTCTGCTATCTTGTTATTTGTATTTTATTTGTTCTATTTTTTATTTTAAAAAACTTTAAATGACTATTTTATTCTGTTTTATTTTCTCTGTTTATTAACTATGTGTCATATATATTTTAGAGTTTATAATATGCATCAGAATCTATCTTCAAATAATTTTATACCACTTCATCTATAACATAAGGAGTTTTTTCATTTCCCTTGTCTTGTAATTGATTTAATCTTTATGACCTTTATGAACTCTGGTATATAATTTCTTACCTTAAGCAGTCTTATCTTAACAAAGAAATCAAGAAACAAAGAAGTGTTTCTGTCTGTCCACTTTTTATCTTTCCTAGCACTCTTTGTTTCTTGGAGTAGATTCAAGTTTTCATCTATTATCATTTTTCTTCACCCAAAAACACTTCCTTTAATATTTCTTGTAATGTAATTCTACTGACAGTGATTTTCCTGGGCATTTCTATATCTCTACATTTTATTTCATCTCACTTTCAAAAGATATTATTACATGACACAGATTTCTAGGTTGACAGTCCTCTTTCAACTCTTTTTTGTTTAATTAAATACTTTTGAATTTTATTGTTGTTCAGGTACAGTTTTCTGCCTTTTCCCCTCCCCCTCCCCACCACCCCAACCAACCCCACCTCCCTCCCATTTCCACTCTCCTTGTTTTTGTCCATGTGTTCTTTCAAATCTTTAAGAATATTTTCCTGTTAGCTTCTGGTTTGCATTATTTCTGTTGATAAGTACACCACCATTTCTTCTTGGCATTCCTCCAAGCACAAGGTACTGTTTTCTGGATGCTTTGATATTTTTATTTGTTATTCAGTTTCAGCAATTTGATTTGGGTGTGAATCTCCGGGTAGTTTTTCATGGTCTGCTTCTGGGATTTTTGAATTTGCTGACTACCTCAAGTTTGCAGTTTTTTTCTAATCTAAATTTGGAGCATTTCACCCTAGCTGGTGTAGCTCAGTGGATTGGGGCGGACATGTGTTTCTCTTTTTTTTTTGTATATAAAGATGAGATACCATTATTTCTTGCAATATTTTTTGTCCCTACTCTCTTTCTTCCTATTATTCCAAGTATGTAGGTGATATATATCACTACATAGGTAATACCACTTGGCATTGTCCCACACATCACTGAAGCTTTTTTCTTTTCTTTTTTTATTCCCTTTTCCTGGTGTTTTCCACTCTGTGCTGCAATGGATATTTTCTGTTGACTGTTTGAATGTTCACAGATCTTTTTGCCTTCAATGTCTCATTGCTGCCTCATCCTTTTAATGAATTTTACATTTCAGATAGTGTACTTTTAGCTTTAGAATTTCCATTTGATTTTTTGTGTAGTTGTAATTACTTTATGGCAATTTACTAATTGTTACATCATTATTTTCATATTTCTTTAAATTCCTGACTATATCTATGTTAGCTATTTAAAATTTCATCATCTCTAATTCCTGGGCCATTTTTCTGTTGATTGAATATTCTCCTGGTCAAAGTTACATTTTCCTAGTTCTGCACATCACCAGTATTTTTTTTTTTTTATTGAGTGCATGACATAATGGTTGCCACACTGTTGACTCTGTGGATTTTGTAGTTTTCATTAAAAACATTTTCTTCTGGCAGACAATTAATTTACTCTCGCATGAGCTTGATAACTTGAGACTTCTAAAGTTTTGTTAGCAGATGTTTAGAGCAGCCTGTACCAGGGCCACGTTAGCTTTGACCGTAAGGCCTGTCCTTGCTGTGGTCTTGATGTTCAAGTTGGTCAGCAAGGTCTCTCCACTTGGTTTGATCAGAACTTGGACATTTCTCAACATTTGAGAGTATGTTCTTCAGGTAGTTCAGCTGACAGCTATGCTTTGGTGGTTCTGTCTTTGGTCATAGTTATTTCTTTAGTATTTGGGCTTTTTGCCTGTCTCTTGCACAGCCTAATACATGGTCCAAAATCCAGAGAGATTACTGTGCATATTTCTGGTGCTCCCTTTATGCAGTTTCTTTCTGTCCCCATTTTGTCAAATTCTAGAGGCCTCCGTGGGCCCAAACTCCAGTTTCCGCTTCCTCAGCGCAGATGGACCACCGTGCTCTGTTTCAGCTTCTCCTTCCTGCAGTGTGTCCTGGAAAGTGCCTCCATTCGGAAACATGGGACAGTTGCGTGACTCGCCCCATCTTCCCTATCCTCCCCCCTTCTCAAGGGTTTTATAGTCCTGAATTGCCTGTTGTCCAACACTTCAAAACAGTTATTTCATGCATTTTGTTCAGTTTTACCTTGTTTGTGGCAGGAAGGTCATTAAAGTTGTGGTCGTCAGTTTATTTTTTCCAGGTAATGTCTTTTATGATATCACATCTGCTTATCTTTCATTTATTCATTTATTTTTTATTGAATTTATTTAAGTGAAGTCGGTTCACAAAGCCATATAGGTTTCAAGTGTACCCTCAATAAAATGTATCTGCACACTGCATAGTGTGCCCATTCCCCGCCCCCTCCCTTGCCCACCTCCACATAGTCCCCACCCCCTTTTCCCTCGGGCTATCACCACACTGTTGTCTATGTGCTTGGTGCTTGTGTTTTTGGCTAATTCCTTCACCTTCTTTCACCCTGTACCCCTTCCCTCCTCCCCTCTCTTCTCTGACAGCTGTCAGTCTGTTCCATGTATCTATGCCTTTGTTTCTATTTTGTTTGTCAGTTAATTTTGTTCATTATATTCCACATATAAGTGAGATCATATTATCTTATGGTATTTGTCTTTTAGTGGTCATTTGTTTTAAATTCGTATTTACATATTTTGAATTGGTTATTTATTCACATAGTTCAGAAATCAAAATATGTAAAATGTATATGTTGATAAGCTTTGCTTTACTCTCTATCCTAGCTATGCTGTTATCTGTAACTTTTATAGATAACTGTGTTTATGAGTTTCTTATATATATTTTCAGTATTTTATGTGCATATAAGCAAATATGAATATGTAATATTTTCTTCTCCTATTCTTACACAAAGAATACCCATTACACATTCCATATACCCTGTTATATGCCTTACTTTTTCATTTACTATCTTTATGCTAGAGTTTTGTGATTGTCAGTAAAGAAATCTATACATAAACCCGTTTAATCTATGTGCAGGTAACCTGTATAGCACTCTGTGGGCTTGTTTGCTGAGTCACAGAGTAAAAGCCTGTGCAGTTTTGATAGGTATTGTCAAGTTGCCATCTAATGGGGGACAGTTAGCAGTTACTTGCTAATAACAGTGTATGTGTATTTCTTTCTCAGCCTTGTCACAGAGTATGCTTTCAAACTTCTGGATTTTTGCAGTATAAGTAGAAGAAAATTGTTTTGTTGCTGTAGACTTAATTTGCATGTCTGTTTTTGTAAATGAATTTGAGCATTCTTTAATATAAGCTTCTTTTATTCTTTTTTAAATTACATTTTATTGATTATTCTATTTCAGTAGTCCTGAGTTTTCTCCTCTTGTCCCCCACCACCCAGGCCCCCCCACTCCCACAGACAATCTCCATATCCTTGCTCATGTCCAGGGGTAATGGGTATAATTTCTTTGGCTGCTCCGTTTCCTATACTGTACTTTACATCCCCGTGGCTATTCTGTAACTACCTATTTGTACTGCTTAACCCCCTCACCTCTCACCCACATGCCCCTCCCATCTCCTCATCTTTAACCTTTGGTGTTTTAATTATGATGTGTCTTGGACGGGTCCTCTGAATCTATCTTGTTAGGGACTCTCTGTGCTTCCTGGACTTGCATGTCTATTTCCTTCACCAAATTAAGGAAGTTTTCTTTCATTATTTTTTTCAAATAGATTTCCAATTTCTTGTTCTTTTTCTTCCCCTTCTGCTACCTGTATATGTGCATGTCAGATTGCTTAAAGTTGTCCAACAGGCTGTGTATATTATCCTCATTTTTTTGGATTCTTTTTTCTTCTTCTTGTTCTGATTGTTTGTTTTTTGCTTCCATATGTTCCAAATCATTGATTTGATTCTCAACTTACCCACTTCACTATTGTTTCCTTGTAAATTGTTCTTTATTTCAATTAGTGTGTCCTTCATCTCTGACTGGGTATTTTTTATGCTGCTGAGGTCCTTACTGAGTTTCTTGAGCATCCTTATAACCAGTGTTTTGAAATCTTCATCTGATAGATTGCTTATCTCCATTTTGTTTAGCTCTTTTTCTGGAGTTTTGATCTGTTCTTTCCTTTGGGTCGTGTTTCTTTTGTCTCCTCACTTTGCAGCCTCCCTGTGTTTGGTTCTATGTCTTAGCTAGAGCTTCTATGACTCCCCATCTTGATAGCATGGCCTCATGTACTAGGTGTCCTGTAGGATCCAAGGGTACAGCCTCCCCTATCACTGAAGCTGTGTACTTGATGTGTGCCCTTTGTGTGGGCTGAATACACTCTCCTTTTGAAGTTGATTTTGGTTGCTGTTGGCAGGTCAATGGGAGGGATTTCCCCAGGCCAGTCAGCTGCAAGGGATGTCTGTTGCCACTGACCACCAACCTCCACCCTCCATGGAGGGTCAGCTGTGTAGGTGCAGGGTGGTGGTGCTCCAGTGTGGTCTGTAGCTGTCCACTAGGTGCTCTGACCCTGGGGTTTCCTGAGTGTTGCAGGCCAAGATCAGTCTCCACTTGTGTTTTGCCTGGGGACACCCTTCCTGAGTTATAAAGCAATGTGAATTGGTTGCTACTTGTGCAGGGCTTGGAGATTCCCAGGTGAAGCCATGATATGAATCTATGCTGGCTGCTGCTAGTGCCAGGCCTGGGGCCCACTGAGGCCAGCTGCTACTTTGAGGGGATTGTTTGAGAGGATTTAGGAAGTTGTGCCGCCTGAGTCAAGACCAGCTGATTCATATGAAAAAGCAGCTTGGGTGGTCCCATAAGTTGGGTGGGGCAGAGTCTCTGGGGATCTCCAAGGTGTGTCAGGTAGTGTGAGCCGGGTTGATGGAGTCTTAGCTATGGACCCAGTCTTCTGGCTCTGTGGGAGGAGGCTTTAGAAAAGGGACATGGCCTCTGTTTGCCTTGATGCCAAATATCTCAGCCTCCCCCTACATGGCACTGGTGCCCCTCAAGTCACCACCTGGTGCCAGGGTCCAGAGGGAGTGACTCTGAGTGAGCAAGTTCATGTGTGGGTTCTTTAAGAGAAACCTCCTGGGGCTCCAGAAATTTCTTCCACCAACTCAATCCCTGCAGTTTTTGCAGCCACAAATTGTAGGGACTTATGTGCCTTGCATTGGAATCCTGGGCTTGGTGGCCTGGTGTGGGTGTGAGACTCCTTGCTCCTGAGCTATCCCTCCTGAACTTTGATGCAGCACATGTGGGGGTGGGACCAGCCAGTTCTGCATCTGCACCCCTCTTACCAGTCTGGATGGTTCCTTTAATTCTGTAGTTGTCAGACTTCCATGAAGCTCGATTTCTGTCAGTTTTGAGCAGTGGTTGTTTTGTATCTTAGTTGTAATTTTGGTGTGGCTGTGTGAAGAGGGGAGTCATGTCTGCCTATGCTGTCATCTTGACTGGTAGTGTTGGTTTCTTTTATTCTTATTATTTTCATGTACTACTTTATGTTTTGTCTTGTTCTTGATTTGTAGCACCTTTTAAATCATATGGCAATGAGTTCTTTGTAATATTAGTTGCAAATATTTTCCTGTTTTTTCTTTTTTTTATGTTACTATTTTATTTAATTATTAACAAAGTTATAACTAAATGGAAAGGAAACTGGGACTCAAATCAAGGGAGTAGACCAGAAGGAAGGAAAAAATGACCAAAGAGAAAAGAATGAAGAAACAAGAATTCAAAAAAATGAGGAGAGGCTTAGGAACCTCCAGGACATCTTTAAACATTCCAACATTCGAATTATAGGCGTATCCTGTTTTTTCTTTAAACCTGCTCTTCTTATTTTTTTTATTCTGACTTTGCCATACATATCTAATGTAGTCATTTCTAATCCATAGGTAAATTATCTGTATCCTCTTAAAAACTTTTCTTCACATATCAACTACTTGATTATTGTTTTATCCTTGCCTGAGGACATTGTTTTTCATTGCTTTTTGAGGGAGAGGAAAGAAAGGGGGAGGGGAGAGACAGAGAGAGAGAGAGAGAGAGAGAGAGAGAGGCACTTTGGATCGAACCCACAACCTGGGCATATGCCCTGGCTAAAAGTCAAATTCATGACCTTCTAGTTTATGGGAATACACTACAATTAACTGAGCCACAGTTGAGTATCTTTGTTATGAGGAAAGTGTAGCTCATGTTTCTCTCCAGCCCACTTAAAATGTGCACACACTGGAAACCAGTTTTTCATTTGTATGTTCATTCATTCATTCATTCATTCATTTATTCATTCATTCATTTAATAACCATTTAAGAACCTATCATGTGCCAGGAATTGTGCAAAGTTTTCTATAGAATGCAAAGGAAAATTAAGTCTCCCATCCCTAACAGTGAGTGCTATGTTGGGGAGGCATGGAAGAAACGTTTTAGATTGTCAGGCTTTTGGCAACACTGAGGGAGGCACGGCCACAGTGGTTAAGGAGCAGAGGTCAGGGTGGCTTTACACCTATCACGCACACTTGAAAGCTAAATGAGAACAATGATCTAAGTTACAGAACTGAACTGCATCATATTAAGAGCAAAGTTTTAACTTTTAGATACACGATCTCATAGTTCTATGTTAGAAGTCAATTTCTGTCATCCTGATTAATTATGTAAAACTTGAATTTTCCTTTGTACCACCTTTTCTAAAACTATTTCTACTTCAGGTGGTATAATATTAGCTGCTGATTACTCTCAACTTGAACTGAGGATCTTGGCTCATCTATCCCACGATACTCGTCTCATTCAAGTTTTAAATGCTGGAGCTGATGTTTTCAGGAGTATTGCAGCTGAATGGAAGATGATTGAGCCAGAGTCTGTTGGGGACGACCTGAGGCAGCAAGCAAAGCAGGTAATTCTAGTGACCGTGCTTCACATAAGAGGGAATTGTAATGATCAGAAAAATTGAAAAACTGTCTCGATCATTTGTGGTTGAGGACTGACTTCTTCTTTTTTGGTCTTTCAAACCACATTTATCTGATCCCGTCTTATGGCATTTATTGTGTCTCCATAGAGTCAATAAAAAGCATAAGACAGTCTGAGGCAGTTAGGGTCTGAGAGGGCACAGGGTTTGTGGTAGACATTGTGGTGTTGGTGGCTGTCGTTGTGTGTTTGTGTGTGTTTACAAATCTCTTTCTAGTCTGTCAGCATCTATATTTCCATCTTTCTATTTTCACACAGCATTGAGTCACAATGCTTTTTATAAAAAGGTTCACTCTACATGCTTGTTGATAAACAAATAGTGCTGAGCTGTAGATTGTAATGATAACTGATAGCTTTTTAGTTTTTTCAGGCCACCAGTTAGCTAATCCACCTGTGAAACTTCATATTGTCCTCGGACCTTTCAAGTGGGTCCACGTTAATTTCTACCCCTGAGTGACTTTCAGGGACAGAGGACATTGAAGGCCACATTTATACCATTTCTGTCCTCAGTGAACACTGATACTTCCTTGCCACATGACCTGTGGGAAATCTAATGCCATTTTCAACAAAGTAATATTAGTGGCTGGGGTAAAGGCACACCACTTGTACCTCTAATATCTGGTTTTACTCGTTTTACATTTACTTAGTTATAGCTGTATTTCTTGACTGGCTCATTAGGCAGAACCACTTTTTCTCATCACCGTATGTTTGGCCCCGACACTTGTTTCTTCCATGATTCAGAAAGTCAGCTGTGTCTTCTCTGAATATTTAATCTCCTTTGGGGTCCTGCATTTAGCAATAATCAAACCCTAGACAAAGTAGGTGATATGCTAATATTTAATCCTCATAATAAACCCACAAAATAGGTGTTATTATTATTATCCTCATTTTACATAGGAGGAAACTGAGGCACAGAGAGTCAGTAATCTGCTTAAGCTCTTACAGCTGTCAGAGGTGGAGCCAGGGTAAGTTCAGAATGCCAGGATGTGGATGTTTTGACTCTGTAATCTGAACACTTATCCACTGATGATAGCAGCCTCTATTTATGAAGTTCTTGTGTGATTGATTTAACAGCGTTTATACTGTAGCATTTTTTTCCCTAAACTACTATGCACTGAACCTCTAGTCCTTGAGTCTTACCGAGGTCTCACTGGCACTAAGTAATGTCTGGGTTAAAAAAAAGAATTAGGTGTCACAACAAAATAAAGCATAGTAAAATCAAAAAGGAAAACAAAAAAGAAGGGAAATAATTGTCTCAATGTATTCAAAAGAAGAAAAAAAGGAAAAAATACCTGTAGCTGTCTCATCACATTAAAAGTGTTTTGGAATTCTGATAATCATTTTTTGCAAATTACCTTCTTAAATTTTATTTAACAGCATTTATATAGAACTTGCTTTATATCATGCAATTTCCTAAAAACTTACAACAAATAACTGATTGAACCCTAACAGCCCCGTGATGTAGGTGTCACTGTCGAAGGAATCAAGGTGCTAAGTGCTTAGGCAGCTTGTGTGAGATAATACATCTCATGAATGTTGGAACTAGGGTTTGAATCCACACAATGTCCATTATTTAATCAGAGTTTCTTTGAGGACCTATTTAGACCATTTTCCTTCATTATGCCAAAAATTTCATGAACTTGTATTCAAGTCAAATGAACCGTGCAGTTGCAGGATTTCAGGTGGCTATGAGGTGAAGTGGATGTTTATTTGCAATAAATCCCCCCCCTTATCAACCACTTTTAGTGTTCTCTAAGGGTTAGGAGAGGAATATTTGTAACTTTTCTTTCCTACTCCAAGGCAACTCTTTAAACAGAAGTTGATGGTGTTATGAGGAGTTATGAGGAGTAGAAAGCTGTGGGAGCGACTTCTTCCTGAGTCCTCCCGGTGCCATGGACACAACTGAATGAATAATGACTGAAACATGCTGGATCTGTTTGGGGAGGAGGAATGGGCTGTGGCCAGTTTCTCAGGGCAGACAAAGGCCAGCAGCAGCCAGTTTCTCCAAGGAGAAAAAGGCCCCGAGCGCCCTCTTCCACAGCCTTTTATTGGGTTGTAATACAAAGGAATGCAGGGCGGCAAGGATCAAACAGTAGATAACATTTCAAAGAGATCTGAGGGCTTCAGAGTCTGAGTCAGTGTCTGTCAGGAAGAGAGTTGCAGAAATTTTGGGAGACATACCCATTTCCTCTTGGACCCTTATCATATGAATGAAAGCACTCTTAGCAGAGCAGATTTCACAGGTTTATCAGCAAGTCTTTGTGGTGCCAGATTTTCCCCCAGGACAAGCTCTAGCAAGGCAAGGAGCTGCACCTCTCCCCATCAGGTATTCAGGCTTAAGGGGATTAGAGCCAGGAAGCGCTTCTCCCAGAGAACAAGGGGACCTGAGCTATGTCAAACCTGGGGGGTGAGAGTCCATTGCTCTTTGTTGCAGCCCCCCACCCAGTCCTTCCATGAAGGCCTCCCAGGTGATCCAGTCTGGCTTAGATTGCCCCCAGCTGTGAGGAGTCTTACCCATCATTGACTTCTGACCAAGCTTTGGGGGCAGGGAAAGGAACTGAGGCAGTGTTTGCTACCAGAGACAGGCTTTGTCTCCTGCGGCTCTCATTCCAGAGATTTTCCCTCTCGCCCTTAGCCACAAGGGGTTGAGATACAATTCCTAAAACTACAATTCTACAACAGAAAGCCTGTCTGAAGACTGCTGGATAAATAAATCCAGACTCAGAAATAAATTTTTCCTTTCAAAGCACTAGGATTACTTTCTTAAAACATACAGCATTCATATTCATTCATATTTGTTTTTACCCTCCCTTCCTGTCCCCTCTAGAAATGTGTTCTAAAAGGCAGAAAAGATGTTCACTGGATATCACCTTTATGGTCCTAACCCTGCAAAAGCAGATCTAACCATCCCGTTGACTCACTATGAAATGGAAAGCTTACCAAATTTCAATCTTAATGAACTTTTTATATTTGTATTTTATGTAGTTAGGACCTTTAATTTACTTACTGAATGTGATGGCTTCCTTTCAGATTTGCTATGGAATCATTTATGGAATGGGAGCAAAATCTTTGGGAGAGCAGATGGGCGTTAAAGAGAACGATGCTGCTTGCTACATCGAGTCCTTCAGATCCAGATACACCGGTAAAGAGGCCTTGAGTGATCTCTTCTAGATACTGTTCTTTTCAAATGTCTTTCCACATTGTATTAATTTTTAAAAATTTTGTACAGAATTTTCTACTAACATTTCTATTAATCATAAGTTTTCATCAGACATGTTAATTAAATAACATTAACCTTATTGTGAATATTTACTAAGAGGTGCATTTTTCCCTAAAAGTAGGGGTGGAAATGGAATAGCAAAATATAGTTGACATATATGGTACTGTGTAATTGTCACTATCTCATAAAATCTTGGAATTTTTTTGTACTTTAGGTTTAGAGAACTTTAATAGGAAACCATAAAGCATTGAGTAAATGTAACGGAACCTGCTGAGAGAACAATTGCCGTTATAGATCAGTTTGAGTATCATTGTTTTGAATTATCTTTTCTTTTGGAAGTTTATTGAGGTATAATTTACACTGAATAAAATTCACTTTTTTAGATGTATAGTTCCATGAATTTTGACAAATGCACACAGCTGTGTAATCTTACCACAACCAGGGTACGGAACCATCACCCCAGAAAGTTCTTTTGTGCCTTTTTGTAACCCACTCTGTCCCCATCTTCAATCCCCCCAAAGAAACTTTATTTACACATGACATGTCCTTATACTTCAAAAATTGTATGAATTTTATAAAACAACTAAATTTAGCAAGCTTCCACCATATGGCCAATTTATAAAAATCAGTTAATTTCTATTAGCAGTAAGCAGTTAGTGTATGAAGTAAAAATAAAACCATTTACAATAACATCAAAATACGTGAAGTATTTTGGCTAAATTCAACAATATCTCTAGATTTCATTGAAAACTCCAAAGCAATCCTGAAACTGAAGAATACTTAAATAAGTGAAAGGTTTACTGTATGAATTGATTAGAAGGCACAGTATCAGTTTGATGACAATTCTCTGTAAAGTGTTCTATAGATTCAGTGCAATTCCAATAACAATTTCATTAGAGTCTTGAAGAATTAGACAAGCTGACTCTAAATTTGTATGGAAATTCAAAGGGACTAGAATAACATTTCTGGGGAAAGTACAGTGTTGAGTACTTATACTCCATGGTTTCAAAACTTATTATAAAAGCACAATAATTTAGGTAGGCATGAGAGTAGACATAGAGGACAATGGGCCACACAATAAAGGGTCCAGAAAAAAAATATATAAATATATATGTGTGTGTGTGTGTGTGTGGCAAATTGATTTTCAACTAAGTTACCATGGTAATTCGGTGAAGGGAAAATGGCCTTTTCAACAACTGGTGTTAGAACAAGTAGATACTGGTATGGGAAAAAAGTGAACTTCAACTTTTATCTCACATGCTATTCAAAAATTAACTCGATATGGAGCATAGACTTAAAAGTAGGGTTTAAACTATAAATCTTCCAAAGAAACTGGGGAGGAAAGCTTTGTAACGTTGAGGTAGCAAAGATTTTTTAGGTGATAATAACACTGAATAACAAAAGATAAACACTGATAAGACACTATTAAGAAAATGTAGCCCTGGATGGTGGCTCAGTGGGTTTAGCACTGGACTACGCACTGAGAGGTCATGGGTTTGATTCCCAGCCAGGGCACATGCCTGGGTTGTGGACCAGGTTTCTGATTGTGGGTGTGCAAGAGGCAGCCGATTGGTGTTTCTCTCCCTTTTTCTCCCTTTCTCCCCTTCTCTCTAAGAGTTAAATAAAATCTTTTAAAAAAGAAAGAAAGAAAATATAAAGACAAGCCACAGACTGAGAGAAAATATTTGCAGCTCCTATTAGCTAACAAAGAACTTGCATTCAGAATACATAAAGAACTCTTAGAACACAATTCTAATAAGGTAAATAATCCAGTAAAATAAAGGTCAAAGATTTGATAGACACTTCACAAAAGCTAATACATGTATATGAATGACCATATCAAATGTTATCATTGTTAGTTATCAGGGAAAAGAAAATTAAAATAACAAAGAAATACCATTACAAAAACAAAAAAAAATTACCAAAATTAAAAGCCTTGTGTCTGCACTCATTGGGATTTTCACATGACTTTCCTCCTTTAATCTGTTAATAAAGTGTGCTGATTATATTGTCTAAAACTCCAAATTCACTCTTTTATAATTGTAATTCTATTGCGGTGGTCCCACTTTTTCTGTCTTTGCCCTCCTCCACCCCAGTCCACCTCCCACCCCCACAGTCAGTCCACACACCGTTGTCCATGTCCACGGGTCATTCATACATGTTCTTTGATAGTCCCTTCCCCTTCATCCAAATGAGTGCAGAAAACACATGGGATAAAAAGCAGCAACTGTTTATGGAGGAGAATCTAAAAGTGTTTGTTAAGAAGTATATATACCAAGTGTATATACAGCACACAATATTCCTAGGTGAAAAATTAGAGATATTCCCTGTAAGATAAAACAAAACAAGAATGTCCACGGTCATCCCTTCAGTGAACACTGCACTACAGGAATTTCTACCTCCTACCTTGAGGCAGTGAATAGGGCTGTCTACACAGGGTGAGCTCTCAGACCGTTGAATTATGGACAAATCCTGAGAATGGTGCTTTTCAGGGAGTCACCAGGCACGTCACGTAGTGACAGTTGTCTGGGAACAGAGATGATGGGGCGCTCCAATCAGTTTTGTCCCCTCCAATGGCTGATAGGGATCTAGGGTTCAGAGTTACTCTAGAATAAAGGTCATTGGTTTCAAGGCTACCCTGGAGCTAAGGGGGGGGTAAGAATAGTGCAAGTTACAGCATTTCAACACTCACTGTATTGTTCTAGCCATTTTTCTTGAATAAACACTCTTCCAGTTGTTAGAAACCTTTGGTTAATTTCCAGAGTTCTGAAAATATTTATTTTGACAATATTTGCCAGTGTTCTCATTGCTTTCACGCCAGAGGGGATTTTCATAGGCCCTTAATCCACCAAGCCAGAGCTCTTCTTCATATATATATTTAAAATTAAGTATAAATCAAATAAATCAGACTATAAATTAAAAAAAATAAAAGTAAAAACATTGTATCTCTTTTGCATTGTTGGTAAAGTTGTAAAATTGCACAATCACTTTGGAAAGTAGTATGGCTCTTTCTTACAAAGTTAAACATAAACTGAGCCATTTGATCCTGCAATTCTACTACTGGGTATTTATATATTTGCCCAGGAAAAATGAAAACATGTGTCCAAAGAAAGACTTGACATGAATGTTATAGTAGTTTTATTTGTAACAGCCCTAACGTTGGGAACAGTCCAGATGTCTATCAACAGGATTATGGATCAACAGATTTTGGTATATCTCTGCAACGTAATACTACTTAGCAACAGAAGATTTTTGTTGACATAAATGAGAACATATAGTGAAATTCAATTTTTATGAATTTCAAGAACAAAAAAATGAAGATGTCATAACTCAGTGTCAGAAAGCACATCAGTGAGTGAGTGAGGCTGATAATGGGGATCTGGCTGTAAAGGTGACGAAATGCTTTGCATCTTGTAGTGGTTGTTATAGAAGTCTATGCACTTATTAAGATACATCAAACTGTTAACCCAAAATGGGTGCCTTTTATTGTATTTAAATTATATCCCAGAATGATTGTTTTTAAAGTAGTTCTTGCAATCTCTGAATATTTGAAGGCCTACTACAGAGTCAGGTAAGAGAATTTGTAGAGATTTCTTAAATCTCAACCTTTTGTTTGCTCTTAACTCAATAATATCACAGTAACTTAAATTTTTTCTGATTTATTTATTATTGTTGTTCAAATACAGTTGTCTCCATTTTCCCCCACCACTCCCCTCCACCCCAGCCATCCCCACCTCCCACCCTAAGTTCTACCCCCCTTTGGCTTTGTACATGTGTCCTTTATACACGTTCCTTGATGACCCTTCCTCTTTCCCCCCAATAGCCCCCCCTACCTCCCCTCTGGTTACTGTCAGTTTGCTCTTTATTTCAATGTCTCTGGTTATATTTCGCTTGCTTGTTTGTTTTGTTCATTAGGTTCCACTTATAGGTGAGATCATATGATATATATTTGTATTTCACTCCCTGACTTATTTCACTTAGCATAATACTCTCCCATCAGTAAGTGAGTGGATCAAAAAACTATGGTGCATTTACACAATGGAAAACTATGCAGGAGAAAGAAAGAAGGAGCTCCTACCCTTTGCGACAGCAAGTTTGGATATCACAGTAATTCTTAAAGAGAAGAAGATGACAGCCCGAATGCTTTCTGAACTTTCATGCTAATGGTCAAATATCATCAATAGCTTTATGTGGCAGGGCAGGATTTTCTCTTTCTCTTCTTACCCACAGTCTCCCCAGATATTGTTCCTGTGCCAGCCACACCACAGAAATCTTCAAATGAAGAGTTGCAATTGGGAGACATTAGTGTTTATTATTGGGCTGGCCAAAAAGCCCATATGGTTCTTTTCTGTAAAATAAAGCAGTTGGTTTCTATTTTCACCAGTAGCTTTAATGACTTTGATATTTTGAGTATGATGGCGATTTCCCATGTAGTAATGTTGATTGTTCTCAGTTAAAGTCTCTATTTTCATTGCTGTGAGCTCCAGCTGTTCTACCTGACCGTGGAGCATCGCCCAGTGAGACCTCTGTAGCACGTAGCTTTGCCAACCACTTTTGACACATTTTGATCAGTCACAACACCTTCTCCATATACTACACAAATCTTTATTTGAGCTTCAGTTGAGTTTTTACCTTCCTTAAAATAAAAAAGCATAATATGCCAAAAATGTTGTGTATTCTCCTCCACCTTCAATATTAAAGTGGCTACACAAAAATTCACCAATTTTGATATTTTTTAAAATGCACATTGATATGAGGCCTGTCACAATACAGTCTAACAAAATTGTTTTGAATGAAGTTAAAGACAACTAAGCACTGTTAGAGCCATCTTACGGGGGAAAAAAACACAATAAAAACCTTTTTGGCCAACCCAATACTTAGGATGAGTAGAGCCGTGAGAAAGCAGAGGTTGCACAGATGAATAAAGGTAGATCAGCACAATCTCTATACTTTTGTGTTTTAAAGTATGTAGAGAAGGAACCTCTCTAGCTCAGAGACAGGAATGAGCAGTGATGAGATTGACCCTACCTGGAGCAAGGAATTCATCCTGGAGCTTCGCCAGACATAAGAATGGACCTATATTGCAAAGGACGAAGGCTGGTACAAGGGACATGAATGTGTATGAATAGCAGGGGGAGGGGGATAAAGGGGGACTAAATGGTAATGCAGAAATACAATAAAGATGAATCCGATCAAGTAAACCATTCATAACAAATGGTACACTCTATGTAGTCTTTTTGAATTTGCAGAAGTAGATTGTATATGTTACCAATGGAAGTTATAACTCATGCATTAATTTCAGTTAGGTCCTATTTGGATTGCAGTTTAGATGGTAGCAGGGAGCTGGTAGAATGTTTTAAGCCTGGAAATGATAAGATCAGAGTACAAGAGGATTAAGATCATTGAAGAACAGAAACCTGTGAAAAGTAGCATTGAATCCTACTCCAGATCCTGGAGTAAAACATTCCAGGTTTTACATCCTACTTGCTTGTTGTGCTGGAGTTTAGTTTTTTAAAAAATTTTTTTGTTGTTTTTGGTTAAAAACAAAGAGTTAGATTATATCATTCCTAAAATCTCTTTTATTTGTAACTTTTTGAGTTTACAAAAAGTAAATGAAAGTTTATATGCAAATGATGATGTGATATTAGTGGGGTTTTATGTTTCACTATTTTGAAACTATTGAATGAAATTAATAATGGACTTTTGTTGGACTTTTTTTCTTTGTAGGGATTAATCATTTTGTGAAAGAGACAGTGAAGAATTGTGAAAGAGATGGGTTTGTTCAGACTATTTTGGGAAGGCGGAGATATTTACCAGGAATCAAAGACAACGACCCCTATCATAAAGCTCATGTATGTTGAAACTCTCTGGATTTTTAACTTAAAATTAAATGACGTATACTTTTCAACACAGATGCTGCTCATGCCCCTTCGAACAGCGGTCCTGACCTTTTTGGCACCACGGACTGTTTTTGTGGAGGAATTTTTTCACAGATTGGGGTGGTGGGGAGGGGGCTGTGGCTTCGGGATGATTCAAGCACATTACATTTATTGTGAACTTTATTATTATTACATTGTAATATATAATGAAATAATTGTACAACTCGTCATAATAAGGAATCAGTGGGAACTCTGGGCTTGTTTTCCTGCAACTGGACGGACCCATCTGGGGGTCACAGGTGACAGTGACACCCAAAATATGTTGCTTCTGTCCAGTCTACTCTAATCTCATTTTAGTTGCTGTTGCTGCAGAAAATCCTACTTCACAAAGATGGGATGTTGGAAATGGAAGCAGGCTTTTCAGTGCTTTTGTGGCAATCTCAGAAAATTCTGCCTTGACTTTAACCCAGAACATATGGAGATCTGAAGTTGCCTCAAACATACTTTTAAGTCCACCATCATTTGCGATCTCAAGCCGCTGATCCTCTTCTAGCACGGACGAAGTAGCTTTACCTGGCTTATTCACAAATGGGTCTCGGATCCATTCCTTCATTCCCAGCTCAGGAGTCTTGTGTGGTTGGGAAGAAATGCTCAAAGTCTTTTGAAAGCTGAGGCAGGGGATCATGTACCAGCTGGGAGAAAGAAGGCCCTGGCTCAGTCTCTTTCAAAATCTCTGCTCATGTTTGAAACATGTCAAATATCTCAATGTTCACTTGTCACCCCATAATTCCAGTTTGGTTTTGAATGCAGCCACTTTATCTGCTGATTTGAACACAGTTGTCGGTGACCCCTGAAGTGACAGATTGAGTGTGTTGAGCAGGTTCAATATGTCACACAAGTAAGCAAGTTTTGCAACCCATTCTGAGTCACTGAAATTTGCTGCTAGTGGTGACTGGTTTTCTAAAGGAAATCTCTGGAGCAGCTCTTGTAACTCAAAAACTCTTGCCAGTATCTCCCTTTAGAACACCATCTCACCTCTGTGTGTAAGAGAAGACGTGTGTGGTCTGCGTCCATCCCCTCACAGAGCTACATGAACAGATATGAATGAGTTAGGGCATGTACTTTAATGTGGTTGATCATTTAAATCACATTTTACAAAATACTGTTACATTCAGGCGACCTTTTTCAGCTAGCCAGCATTTCTCTAGGAATGACACAAGTGCCGGGACTCACATTCAGAAGCGACTCTTTGACCTGAGTAGTGAAACCAGAAAGTCATCCACTCATGGCAGCTGCTTTGTCCGAGCACATACTGACACAAAATGACCAATTCGGTTTTCCTGATTTGTAATCACTCAAAGACTTGAATAGTTCTGTAGCTGGGTGTTGGTTGGTAACAAAAGTGCACATAAAATATGCTCATGCACATCCTTCTGAAAAATATGTCACACAAAAACAGGCATTGTTGCCTTGCTGTCAGCATTGATAGACTCATCAACCTGGATTGTGTACCTCGGTGACTCATTAATCCTAATGATTGTGCTTCAATACCCTCTGGTATTTCGTCAATTTGTTTAGTTATGGTGCTAGCCAAAAGAGGAACATGTGCCACCTTTGGAATGGCAGCCTCTCCTGAAGACTCATGACAAATGTCCTTAGCAGCAGGCAGGATCAACCCTTCAGCAACAGTAAAGGGCTTCTCAGCTTTAGCAATGCGGTTAGCCACTAAAACTGATGCTCTCAGTGCAGACACATTTGATGAAATGGTGGCCTTCAATAAATAGCCTCTGTTCTTCATGTTCATGTTATTTTTTCTTTTTTAAAAAAATTCCAGAGTCTTGTCTTTAAATCGGGGTGCTTGGTTTCCATGTGTGGAAGCAGTTTTGATGGTTTCACATCTTCATTGGATAGCCAGTCACTATGTATTACACAAAGTGGGATGGGAGAATGGGAATCACCTGTTGCAATGAACCCAAAATTTAAGTAGGACTCTTGGTATTTTCTTTTAAATGAATCTTTCTTTTTGTTAGCGGTCTTAGAGTCTTCAGCTGTCTCATCATTGGGTATTTTTCCCTTTTCAAAGAAGCTCTCTAGCGATGTTTGTTTTTGACTCCTTTTGGCTAGGGTTAGCATGCGGGCTTACCAAAACTGTGACTGAGACAAATGCACAGTGCGGGAAAGAGGTGCAGATGCAAGAGGTAAATAAAGTAATGGGTGAGCCATGTGTGGACTAAGTGTCAGAATCTGACTGAAAGCTGCCGCCAGATGCAGCTGTGCAATTGAAGTGCATCAACTCACTTGCCACTATAAGGCCTGCTGCTGAATGCAGCTTAATTGTCATCTGCCACTTACTAATGGGGTTTTGATATGAGTCTGCAAGCAATAGATTTATTACAGTCTCTGTGCAGTCAAACCTCCCTGCTAATGATAACCTGTACTTGCAGCTGCTTCCCAGGGCTGGCATCGCAGCCTCAGCTCCATCTCAGATCATTAGGCTTTAAAATCTCATAAGGAGCACACAACCTAACTCCCTTGCATGTGCTGTGCACAGTAGGGTTCGTGCTCCTATGAGAATACCTCAGGTGGAAATGCAAGCAATAGGGAATGGGTATAAATACAGAGGAAACTGCTCACTCCCCTGCAACTCACCCCCTGCTGTGCAGCCCAATTCCTAACAGGCCATGGACTGGTACAGTCCATAGCCTGGGGGTTGGGGACCCCTGCCATGGAGGGATCACTGGCATATTAATTGGATATTCTGTTTCATTAAGGACTTCTGAAGTGATGGCACTTGCCAGTCTTTTGGAGATTAACATAAATATCAGCTCACCCTTATAACACTTCATTTAAAGATGTTTCAGTAAGCCAGTTATTTGTTAGTGTTAGTAATAAGACATTAATAAAGTTAATTCTTACATTTGCTAATTGATCTTTGTTTTGGATACCATATGCTAATCTTGCATACATATCACATCAGACTGGCTGTGTACAGACACTAGCCAGTCATTAAATTGGGATTTTTTTGGCTCATTGTACTTGTTTATTTATTTTAAAAGCACTAGTTCATCAGAGATTTTTAGGATACCCAAATTATGGAAGAAGGCTATTTTTAATGTTAGTTTAAAAATTTAATGATTGTATTTGCTCAAATTATGAACGAAAAATCTCTTTCTGAAATCACTGGGACTCATAAAAGCATTCTCCGTATCTGAGCATTTCAGCTTCTATTTTAGTCCAGATTTTTGGACTTTAACTGGTTGTGGTTTGCCCCTCCCACACAGTGCTGCCTGTTGGTGTCCACTACATAGAGCACAGAACGGAGGTCCCCAGGCTCAAAGTGCCCAGCTGCCGTCTGGAGCTGGAAGGCATCAGAGCACTAGTGCTCTTAGGGACTGTGGAAGAATAGTTGGCCTTTTGTTACTTCTTCACTCTCTAGCCTCCCATATCTCCACACACAGACATCAGATATTTATCAGGCTTTTACCATCTCTTAAGTGAACTAGGTACTGTAAGTGATACTCTAGAAAAATAAATCTTAAAAGGTATTAGAAGAGATAAAGCAAACTAAACCTATATAAAAATAACACACATAATTACTTAGGCTTCAGGAAGAAGGGAGTACTTGAACAGGTTCTTAAATATTATTTTGAATTTAGATTATTGGACACAAGAAGACAATCACATTTGAGTAAGAATTTGAGTGAGGATTGGCTAGAAGCCAATGTAGTAGGGATGGAGAATTCGAGTTGTCACTTAGGAGCAGATGATTTTCTCCTTGTTGGATGGAGCCAGATAGTAGAAGGATAGCAGAAGCTTTTTAATGGCAGACTGAGAAATCTGGACTTGATTTAACAGGAATTATGTTTCTTGGAATTTATATGATAAAAAATGGAGGGTAGAGTTATTAATGTAAATGAATAATATATATTTTGAGAATATTTTTATAGCTAAAGATCTCAGAGTTAGACTTCTTTTTTTCAATGCTACTATAGTTTTATATTGGTAGAATCTTTTCTTAATTTTAATTTTTAATTGAATTTATCGGGTTGACATTTGTTATAAAATTAACAAATGTAGGTTTCAAGTGTACAATTCTGTAATACAGCATCTGTATATTGTATTGTGTGTTTACTCCTCCAAGTCAAGTCTTCATCACCATCTACCCCCTTTTACTCTCTTCTACCTTCCCCTTCCCCCTTTCCTCTGGAAATCACCATGCTATTGTCTGTGTCTATGAGGGTTTTTTCTTAATCCCTTCACCTTTTTCATCCAGCTCCCCAACCCTGCTCCCCTCTGACAGCTGTCAGTCTGTTCTCTGTATCCATGAGTCTATTTCTATTTTGTTTGTTAGTTTATTTGGTCATTAGATTCTTCACATAAGTGAAATCATATGATATTTATTTTTCTCTGACTGGCTTATTTCACTTAGTATGCTACTCTCCAGGCCCATCCTGCTGTCACAAAAGGTAAGATTTCCTTTTTTTCTGCCAAGTAGTATTCTATGCATAAATGTACCACTGCTTTTTTATCCACTTGGCCTGCTTCCAAATCTTAGCTATTGTGTATAATGCTGCAGTGAATATAGGCGTGCAGAGAGTAAGACTTCTGATGGTTAAACTCTAGGTATTAAGATCTAACTGATTTGTTATATTGTTGCTTAGAGGAAAAAAATTCCAACACTGAATTAGGAATAGGGACAATATAGCCAGATTTTTTTAATTAGGTTTGGTTTTACTTACTGTTTAACTTTGACTGTATTGAAAAATATATATAGATAAAGCACAGAAAACATGTCCATTTTTGTAAATTATCATGGGGCTACACCTGTGCACAACCCAACTCACAAAATAGAATATTGTCGGCACCCAGACCCCCTCATGCCTCCTTCCAATCACCACCTGCTGCCTTCCCAGAAATAACCACTTCATAACTTCTAACCTTACAGTTTTGTTTTATGTACTTATTGACTTCTA